TTAGAAAGTTTAATGGAGAGAACTCTGCACAAAAGATGAAAAAAACTATTTAAAAATAAAATAAAAATAATTGCTACATGTCTTGATTAAGCCCCAAACAGAGAATTGGACTTTTGACAATGGATTATTATATTAATTGATTCTTAGAGGTTGAAACAATAGAAAAATAAAAAGAATCATCATTTGTTGAAATATTGTACAATTAGTAAAATCTAACCAAACTAGAGAGGGTGACGATTAGTATTATATTAAAATTCAACCGCATATCACACGTTGGGGAAAGAGCGAAAAGAATGAAATTTGAGGGTACGTATCTTACAATCGAAGAAAGGAAGTATTTGGCCATAAATGGTAGAAAATTGAATCAATTTATGAATTTGTGATGCTTTACATGAATCTTCATGCAAACATGTTAGTTTTTCATTGAATAGGTAGAGATTGATTTATCATTGTTGAAAACTTGTGTAGTTAAGCTTTATTTTATTTGAATACAAACAATTGTACAAACTTGTGAATATTTGATAAGTGTATTTTATACATTTATATATGTCGTTAAACTAGAGCAATTATTATTATTTTAATTGAATTGAGGCTTGATTTTGTATATATTTTGTTTGTTAGGTGCATCTCGATAAAAAAAACAATGGGTCTTGACAAAAGGAGTAGAAAATGGGCTAAAGTGGAACTAATTCAAAGTTTGGGAACTAAATTGCAAAGTGCTAATATTTGATTCGGACCTAGTATCGATAATTGGAGAGAGGATAGGCTTAATTAGATGGATTTAAAGGATCGAGAATCAGAGGATACGGAAAAGAGACCAAAATGACTAAAGAATGAAATTCAGAGACCAAACTGCAACAAATAGAACTTTACTATAACGGTGCGGGCACACAAGCTAATTCTCTCTCTCACGCTGGCTTGAATTCCATTTACCGAGAGCAAAATCAATGAGCAACGCATGCAATGAACTATATGGCGCGCAGGTGCCCTTTTTGGGCTTGAATGGTCCTGCTTTCTTGTTTGATCCAAACTTTTATGAAAATCTAATTCAACTTACTATTTAACCTACAAGGAACAACCATAACGAAAAACATATATAAAAATTCTATTTTTCATGACAAGAAGGAGACTAGAACGAGATTCAAAGGCAATTAACACAAGCGATTGAAGATTCAAAGTCCGGATTGAAAATTAACAAAAAATAAATTGATTTTTTGCTTTCCAATCATTGTTTTCCATTCCGACTGATGTTTTCCAAAAAAATTGTGTAATTTATATAACATGTTAGGCTGGTTCTTCTCATGTATTAGATGAAGATGAAACATTTTAATATTTATTTTTAATTTAAGAAAAGTAGTTATCTAAATTCTTGTTTTTCTTAATTAATTTTGCATGCGTAATTTTATTATTTGATTGATTGATCACTAATTAAATATATAGCTGCTTGCTATAGTGTTCAAAGACTCACAATAGGTTTAAAACACTCTTTGTTTAATATAAGTACAATAGATATTATGAATAATGTTTATTATGTGTGTAATCCTTGAAATAATTTGAAATTGAATGCGTTTCATTCATTCGAATTCGGATTATGAATAAATTCGAGTCGTGACTAAAATATATTTAATTTGTCTTTAAAAAGAGAATTAATTACAACAGAATTATTGATTGTCAAGAAAGCATGAATGATACTAGTTACTTAATTGAGAATTGAAATAAATAATAAGAGGTGGATTCGTCATACAATACACTCATTTCATATACATATAAAATTTGAAATTTACGAGCTTCTGTAGATTAAGTGGGTGTTTGGGGGGATTAAAATTAGATTTTTAGTAGATTGTGATAAAAATATTGAAATGTGTGGTTGAAAAGTTGTTAGACCCATGAAAGATGTGGTTAATATTGATTATTTGACTTTGACTTAGATTAACAAACGGGACCTAATTTAGAATAATTAAAAACCATAAATCTCTTTTATTTGCTTACTTTGAATTTGATTAGAAGTAAACTTGAATTGAATTAATTCCCTGTGGTACGATAACTTTTAACTCATCAATTATATAATTTGTCAACGATCTCATACGCTTGTAGATTTCGCGCGAACATGCATCCCTACGCTTAAGCTCCAAATAGAACTGTAGAGAGTTGTCGTTTGTTATTCAGATAGGAGACATATCTACATTGGCAATACACTCAATCTTTCAACCTTGAAACTCTCTTGTCAACATTTAGTTCATCCGTTATCATTTCAAC